TCATAGAGATTTATTACATGGCTGTGGCATCCTAATTAGCATAAAGACTGGACCGGCCCACTCAAGCAGAGAATTAAAAACCTTAATTGTGCTGTCAGCCTTCCTCTCTCTTTCCCACTGTTGACTCTACTTCATTCCACTCGCATTCGTCTCCTCCCGCTCTCTTCAGCCTCTCCTCTCTGCTTATGAAGTAGCATCCGTCCATTCTGTTTAATTGTTGGTGATAAATGGGAAGCGGGATGTTTGTAATCGTCTCAGAGATGGGGAGAGGTCGACAGTGATTTTCGAGGAAACACGAATGAGGGAAGGGAGAGCGTCCCTATTTGAAAAGAGGAGAACAAGGAGGTAATTTATCAAATGTTTGTTTCAAGGAAGGAAAATTAGCTTGGCAGGCTAGTGTTAGTGGGATTCGAGCCCAGGCCAAATGTCGAACCAGAAGTTTTCTATAATGCAATGTACACAACATATGGGATGGATGGCGGGACAATTTAAGATTTGTGTGAGGTATAAAAAGATTAGCTGAATATAGAACTAAATCCAGTTAATGTGGGTTTATTTGCAGTGACCAATGGACACATGATGTGTGAGGCATCCATGTTTTTTTGGTTTGTTTTCTGGCAACATTTCAAATTAAAACATGAAAAATAATGTGAATGCAATAAACAAGTCAGACAAGGTTAGTCACTGACCGTTTCTTTATTTTTAGACAAATATCAGTGTCTTATATCATGGTAATTAGTTCAAGGTGTCATCAGATATCTGTAAGTCGAATCACAAACAAGCACTAGAATAATTACGGACAAATAAGATGTTTACTGCTTGCCTCTCTCTTGATACAGTATAGGTGATTTCCAGGAAAGGCAGTCCAAAAACACAACAGTAAAGCAACTAGAAGCAACCGTTAATTAGGGGTCCTACTAGCGACTGGTACAATCATTGATATATTAAAAAAATGATCTTTAAGCTCGACTTTCTGAGCAGAAAGAGGGAGGAAGAGGAAGACAGTAGTTAAAGGTTTCTCAGGAGAGGAGGAGGAAGTGTTTTGCGAGGGTCAGTCCTGTTCGTGCGTCTTTGCTGTCAAAGCCTCTCCTGCAGCAGCAGACGAGGTTAAGACTAGAGAGGCCAGGCCTGCTGCTCACACTGCTTCTCCCTCACACTGACAGCTCGCCCACACACACATACATGTAGACACCAGCACACCCAACATGCATTGTGTTCAACTTTACACTTTACCCCAATCCTCCTACCTCCTTTTTTAACCTATCTGCCCTTCCTCTCCATCTCCTCTTTTGTGTCTTCTGCTCTCCTTTTGCTTTAGTTTCTCATTGTTTTTCTCTCTCTCTCTCTCTCTCTCTCTCTCTCTCTATCTCTCTCTCTTTCTCTCTTTAATTGGTCTCCGCTAGGTTAGTTTGGACAGGCCTATTCATCATAGTACTACCCTCAGAGACAAACCCTTAGGGATAGAGGGGGAGATAGACGGAGTCAGACGGGAGGGCGAGAGGGTCTGCCGCTTGTCAACCCACTCTTCTCCTCTTTTTTCCCTTTTTCCTCTCCTTTCTCCCACCCTCCTTTTCCTCTGCCCAGTTTATAGATGTCAGTTTTGCAGAGGGGAGAGGGGGTGAGGGAGGTAAGGAGAGGGAGGGAAGGAATGTAGACACATTAGTTAGGCTATTAGTTCAACAAGCTGCTTCCATGCCTGTCAATGGTCCGACATCCACACATAGACGGACATGAACACACACACACACTGTACTCACATCTGACATTTGCTACATGTAGTATCGGTGTGAGAGAGTGATTGTGAGTGACGGGCGAGGGGGGGAAAAAACTTTACATGAAACCACGTGTCTTGTCATTTCTGGTGTCTGGGGGGCCTTAATGAGTGAAACACAGCCCATAAGCACCCTGTACAAGCCTCGCTCATCTTTACCACTGTCACTGTGTAATGCATCTCTGTGACTTTAGCCTGTGTGTGTGTGTGAACATAGATGCTTCTGTAAAGGGCAATGAGAGGCATGTAACGGCTCATTCTGTGAGGTCCAAATGTCTTCGGTGATAAGGTCAGACCACATTTTTTCACTGTAAGTGTGTCAGATAGTTTCTTCTCATTTGATGAGCCAACAGTAGGGAACAGCAGATGAGGAGCTTCCCTCGAACGCTGTGAAGATTTTCCCAGTTGTACAATCAAATGATTTAAAGATGACGATGGAAACCGGTGGCAATTTACATGTGAAAGTGGGTTTGAATCGGCCACGTGACATCTCAAAATGAAACAATTTCAGTTTGCATGCCCTGATCGCAGGTTGAAAAAGTCAATAGGTGATGGCTAGCTAACGTTTGACTTTTTTCAAATCATTATTTTGGGTCTAAGGAGATTAAAAATGTCAAGTTTTATGCAATGTACAAGCTAAATGTATTGATAGATAGATAGATAGATCTGAAATAGAAATAAAATAGCATTAAAAGTTTAAAATATATATATATACATGGATGTGGAAAA